TCCTCGAAAACACTCACAAAGGATAAAATTTACATTTTCGGTAAAAGTTCCTTTGATGTTGCTGAACTAATTCGTTCTTCGCCCACAGTTGACGTGCATCTCTACGCGGAGAACAGCAAATTGTTTGTTTGTAGAGACAAATGATACCAGCTTTTGATAAAGTTTAAAAAGGCATCGGATAAACTGAAAGAAGTCAAGAAAGAAATAGAAGAGGTCTTCAATACAAGAGAAAATCCTAGGGCAAAGAGACTGCTGCGAACGGACGAGGAGAAGAATATCATCGATAGCCACAGCAAATAGCCTCGCACGGTATGCATCATTTCTTAGCATCGATCGCCAACGATCATTCTTGAGCCGGTTTCTGGTGAGCCGAAAACTAACGAATATATTCAATCCTCAATACTATGGTGGTCAATCTCAGGTTGGGAAGTAATGTTTACCGCGCTGACTCCAATACTTTGCCGGTAATTGACTTGATCCTCCATAGGACTTACGAGTGGAGAAACAATAACAACGATATGCCCAGCAAGATTGTTGATGTGATCGTATACGAGTGGAAGAACCTGATAAATCAAGGATTTTCCAAACCCTGTAAACAGGTTTGCAAATACATCTTTTTTTTGCAAAAGATTTTTCTCAATTGACTGCTTCTGGTGATCATTTAAACTAGGAATTTGAAAGCGGTCGAAACAAAAGCTTCTTCGAGACGCCATTTTCTCTGCTCAATCAGCCGCTGATAGAACACGAGTTTTGATTGGACGACTAGTCTTGGCGGGACTTACTCAGAATTATATGAGCGAAATTGTGATTGGCTAAAACCAGGGAAAGGAATACGGCTCGGGTTTAAGCAGCGCGTTGGTGGGGGAGAGAGCGTTGCTTGACGAGCCCAAACAACGGCTGCGAAGGGGACTAGCATTGTGCATGATGCTCTTCGCTTTTTCAAACAGACTTGCCTGTTCGTCCTTAGAGAACAGGCCATCAAGGGGGGCAAGCTCACTGATGTCGCAAGAAAACTGATTTGATGCGCTCTCACCTGAAGTGGTTGTACATGTAGCAGCTCTGAACTGGAATGAGTGAGGCCGCTTGTAAGCCGCTGGGTCTGGACACACTTTGTCCACGTTCTGCATAAAAGCCTTCCTTTCTTGAAGGGTCATTTCCCCATGGCTTTTACTAGATAGGTGGTGTTGAAACTGTGCACAAACTTCCCACTTGTGAGGTAGCTGGCACCAGGCAAGTTCCTCTTCCTGATCGAAGGATTCCACAAAGTCGTATACACTTATGTTGAACTTGTCCATCTCTTGTGGATCGAATTAGACCAATCCTTCAACATGTCATTAATGGACCCAGGAATGTCTTTCTGGTAGAGCTTGTCGCCTAAGCCAAGGCCTTTCATCACATACCTTGCCATCCTGGTCTGCATATCTTCCAGCTTGTGGCTCGGAAATATTCTACAAACATTGGTGGACCACCCCTCTCTGATCTCTCCAACGTATCCCATTCCTGCAGAAGGACTTTTGCCCGTGCATCGAACGCCTGCCTAGAGCTGGACCAAATAAGACCACTCCCTTGTCGGTAAAGATCTTGACATATGCGTTCAACAAGAGCTGATGGCAGACCCAATTTTCTTCCCTTGGCTCTAACATTTCTTTCTCTATGAAGGTAACACAGCAATGGTGCAGCACGCTGAAAACCTGCACCGAGGGCGTTTATCAGGGCACGTTCACCGTCGCATGAAGGTGTTCTATCCACATCACAGACACCACCAGCCTCCTTCGTCACTTCAAATAAAGCTCTCTTTGGCCCATATTGTTGTGCCTTTTGTTCAATAGACTGTTTTGTGCTCGCTTTGGTTCGTACGTACGGCATGTTGGAAGATGCACGGTTACCATGCTTTTCTACTTTGAACTTGGTCGGTTTGCCATCAAATTGGTAGTGGAGAAGTATGAGTGGGAACCACTAGTCAATGTCCTTTCCATATTCGATTGACACAATGGTCTTGTAGTACCACTTATACGAAGAACACGTGTATGTTCTACTCCGGACAACAACATCACAATTGCTCCGATCGTGAACTCTTTCCAGCTAGGCTACTCTTCCGTTCTCATCTTTAACAATGCTGTAGTATTACGGCCTACAGCCAGTCGTCTTTCAAGCTCCATTTTCGTCAGCGTAGAAATCTGATCTGTTTGCTAAAGCAGTGATGTCTACGACAAAAGTCGCGTTGTGTTGAATCCCTGTAGGCACTGCTGTACTGATCAGGTACCCATTATCACTTTGGAAGTTGAAAAGAAAAGGGATGATGAAGGGGTTTTCAAGAGAATCAAAATCGACAATTTTGCATTTGATATTTACATTGTAAAGTCCCAATGTGTTCATAGGCTTTTCAGGTGATTTGGATACGTTTATGCTCTCCGTGTCAACTTCATGTGCATCTTTAACACTTTCGCTGTCCTGTAAAAGATATTTCAAACAAAATTCACCTAACAAACTACCATTGGAAGCAAACGACAAGGTGACACTATGCTTTCAGAAGGCATTTTATTGTGTTTTTTGGTGACTGACAAAGATTCTTTAATTTAGCTGAGTATCAGGGGCAGATCTAGGGGGAGGGTACTTGGGGTGCGCACCCCTCCCCCCTTGAGATGAATCCTTCTTCATCGTGTTTGCTTTAAAAATCTGTTTATCTCACCAGTCAGTTACGCCATTCCTTAGTGGTGCACCCCCCCAGCCCTCCTAAGAATCCTGGATCCGCCCCTGAGTATTCATCTAATAATAATAATAATAATAATAATAATGGAATATTATCCAGGATAGCCCTTCAGTCCCAACTACTGTTATCAACGGGGTCCTGCTGTTAAAAAAATATTTTACATAATTATAACATAGATAAGAATAACGACAACAAACATATGAAACATATGTATGAACTGCGGTTATGAGACGTATATGTGAACGATCCTTCGCAGTAAAGCACTATTTGAGCAATAGTGAAAATCAGACCTGAAAAAAATTTCAGGCCTGTACGGGATTCGAACCACTGACCTCTGCGATACTAGTGCAGCGCTCTACCAATTGAGCTAACAAGCCAACTGGGAGCAGGCCATCAAATTAATTCGACATAAACCCGTAGATGATAAATCAAACGACAACAAACATATGAAACATATGTATGAACTGCGGTTATGAGACGTATATGTGAACGATCCTTCGCAGTAAAGCACTATTTGAGCAAATAGTGCTTTACTGCGAAGGATCGTTCACATATACATAGATAAGAATAAACAAAAATATTTAAAGACGACATGCACTAGATTAAAACCGTTAAAAACTACAATAAAAAATCATAAGTAAAAATCGTCCTGGGCTTTCCTAAATAAAATTTTGGAATTAATGTTTCTCAAACGTATCGGCATTGAATTAAAAGTCGGAGCACCTAAGAAATAAAAACTACGGCGCGCAAAATCCAACTTCACCTTGGGTAGTTTTACTGATTTCCTATTGTTTCTAGTGTTTAAGGAATTATGGTGGAAACGTTGAAAATAACTCGTAAATGGGAAACATGTAGTTTCATTAAGGCAGTCAAAAACAAAACAGCACGCTTTCTTTTGCAGAAAGTTGTCAAATGTTATAAACCGAAGATCGCAGGTCTTCAGACTACATTTCGGGGTAATGACCTCGAGGCTTCGCTTCTCAATGGAGCGGATCATGCGCTTGCGGGATTCTGGCCATCCAAGACTATTATAGCCGCAATACATAAATTGGTAAGACCAAATAAAACGAGAATTTTAATTTTACCACGTAAACACAACAGCGTTACAATTCTAGTGTTCTCGCGCAAGCAGTCTTGGGTATAGCGTTACGACAGCTGCGATGGCCAGCGGCCGCTCCATCCTCCCCCCCCCCCCCAGTGAGTCAATAAGACGAACGACAACCTAAAAACACTAAAAACAACCTAAATAAACCTAGATCACTAACAACAAATTAAACAGCTTCCATGAAAGGGCTACAAGTGTTCTCAGTTAGATCAGAATTCAACATCGCTCTCTTCAAACAGATTCCTCCAACACGCATAACTTTGCGGGAGGTCGCATCAGGGTTCCGTTAGGACTTTTCACTTCTGCCATACGAACTCTACAATCCTTCCCAGGGAATGTCGTTAGAATTCGTCCGAGGGGCCGATGTGACCGAGGGGCATCATCAACCTTCATTAGAATAATATCTCCTTCCTTCAAGTTCCTTCGTTCTTTATTCCATCTTGGGAGCATTGTCAAGGTAGGTAAGTATTCTTTACGCCACCTCCGCCATATCATGTCAGCTAGCGCTTGGACCATTCTCCATCTCTTGCGGCTATTAATTTCTCGCTCCTCAAATCGGCCAGGTGGACTGTTTGGCGAGGCTCGTCCGATGGGAAAATGGTTTGGCGTCAGCGCTTTGGAATCCTCGGGGTCATCACTGACGGGAGTGAGGGGTCGACTATTAACAATAGCCTCTGTCTCGACAAGGACTGTATAGAGTGTTTCCTCTGGTAATACCTGGTCATTTATGACAGTCTTCATAGCTCTTTTGACTTGCTTGACCATTGACTTGAATATTCCTCCCATGTGTGGGGACGACGGCAGGTTGAAGTACCAAGTGATCCCTTCTCGGGCCAGCTCGCCGGTGATTCGTCCCTGACTCAACGACTTCAAAGCTTCACCTAACTCTCTGTTCGCTCCCACGAAATTAGTTCCGTTGTCTGAACGGATTGTCTTTGGTTTGCCTCTTCTCCCACGAAACCTTCTCAACGTCATGATGAACGAATCAGTACTCAGATCGCCTGCCACCTCCAGGTGGACCGCACGGGTAGTAAGGCATGTGAAGATACACCCCCACCTCTTCTCAGTTACTCTTCCCCTCTTGACACTAATTGGACCAAAAAATTTTCACCCGTGTTGGTAAATGGAGGCTCGCAAAGGGCGAGTCGTTCTCTGGGTAAAGAGGCCATCACAGGAACGGTTGGCTTAGCGCTCCTTCTCTTCTTCCTCCTTCTCGTAGTCGTCCTTAAACGATTCAATTTGAGCTTGTTTACATAAGGCTAGCGACGCTTCTTCGAGATCGGCGGCGCTCAAACACATGGTTTGACGTTCTGGAGACGGATTCATCTTCTTTATTTTACAGCTCAGAACGTATTTGTACATCATCCACCAAGCGTACTGCCGACATAGCTTTCTCCAAGAGGAGTACTTCTTCCATTTCACCATGTTTATAGATGAAGTAGTGGACACAGCAAGGACTGAGCCCTTAATTTCTAGCTCAGTTTCATCCACAATGGGTACTTCCTTAGTACTCGGCCATTCTGCTTCAGGCAACATTAGAAATTCTGGACCACTGATCCATCGACATTTCGGACTCAACTCCTGAATATCCTTCCCTCGCGTGCAGTCATCGGCCACATTCATTTTGCCAAGAATGTGATGCCACTCCTTAACGTCCGATTTCGAGACGATTTCAGCAACTCTGTGAGACATTTACGTGCTAAATCTCCGCTGGGTGTTGCTAAGGTAGTGAAGCACTATCCTGGAGTCACTCCAGAAATGCGTTTCATCGATTTCAATGTCGATTTCATCCACTGTCTTAGACCTCAGCCTAATGGCTACAACGGCAGCCTGTAACTCCAGACGCGGAATGGTCAAGGCTTTGATTGGCGCAAGCCTAGTCTTACTTAAAACAAAGCTCACATTGACATCTCCACGAGTCACCGCACGGAAATACGCAACTGCTCCGTAAGCGATTTCTGACGCGTCGCAGAACACGTGCAGTTGTACCTTTAGGCATCGGTGGCGGTGGAAGCCATACCACCGGGGAATCATGATCATTTGAGAGGACTTCAAACCTTCTTTCCAACCTTGCCACTTCTGGAGGATATCATTGGGTAGCTCGCTATCCCACTCAATCTGGCGTCTTCACAACTCTTGGATGATCAGTTTCGCCTTTATTACGTAGGGCGCAGTAAGGCCTAGGGGATCAAACACGCTACTCGTGACACTCAATATTCCTCGCTTGGTGTTTGGGAATTTACTCTTCGCTGGTTCAAGACTCAGCAGATCTTGCTCTGCACACCACTTGACGCCTAAGACTCTTTCTTGAGGCAATCCATTACGATCTAAGTGAATAATGTCGCACGCCACTTCTGACGAAGGGATTGCTGTGAGCACTTCTCGGCTGTTTGACATCCACTTCGTTAGGCGAAACCCACCAGTTGCTAGGATTCCTATCAAATCTTTAGCCAGACCTGTGGCTTCATCGCAGTTTTGCTTCGATGCTAGGAGGTCATCCATATAGAAATTACGTCGAACAGCGTTGATGGCATCCTCGCTGAATTTCCCTTGCTGATCACGAGCAGTTCTCTGCAACGCATAGTTTGCGCAACACGGTGAATCCACAGCGCCAAACACGTGAACAGTCATCTCATATTCACTTGGTCTCTTCGTGTCATCTAAGTCTCTCCACAAAAAGCGCAAAGAGTCTCTATCTTCTTCACAAACTCTCACTTGATGAAACGTTTGTTCAATGTCCGCCATCACGCCGATCCTTCCAGTTCGAAATCTCATAAGGACCCCTACCAAACTGTTCAACAGGTTGGGGCCAGTCAGAAGCTTATTATTCAAGGAAACACCATCAAATTTTGATGCGGCGTCAAAGACCACACGGACCTTTCCACGCTTGTTTGGATTAACAACTGCATGGTGTGGTAAGTACCATGTTTTTGGGGTTATCACTTTGGCCTGTCATCCTTTGTCATCCTTTGGGCGTGTCCTTTAGTGACATAATCGTTGATGACATTCTGATATTTCTCTGTTAGCTCTGGCTTTTTCTTGAGTTTCTTCTCAGTGGAATGGAGTCTTGAAACTGCCATTGCATAATTGTTAGGCAAGACTGGTTCACATTTCCATAACAGTGCTGTTTTGTAGTGGCCTTCCTCCTTGACTGCGTTGCTTTCAAGGATGGCCAGAGCTTGTTTGTCTTCAACTGACAAGGTGGACTCAGAGAGAACTCGCTTGGTCGTGTAAGAGTCGATCTCCCAAAATCGTTCGATTTGATACTGCAATGTAGTCTCTCTATCGGATGCGAGAAAGTTTGCACTAATTGTTTCACCGTGTCTTTGATTCACATTTCCAAACAGCGTCCATCCAAGAGGGGTCTTTACTGCGATGGGCTCATCCCGTCGCCCCTGGCGGACTTCAAGGTGAATCAATAAGTGAGCCATCTCAGCTCCAATGAGAATCATCACGTCGCCACCTTGGAGTTCAGGAAGATCTACATCAGATAAGTGATTCCACTGCTTGACGGTCCTTTTCTTCGACAGCTTGAAAGGTGGAATGTTGAGTATTTTGATGACTCAAGCTCCATGCACCATAACCGGGTCTGGCTGTTCTTTAGAGGAAAGACTAAAGCTTACCCTGTCTAAGTTCTGAGTAGTAGCTTCATTGCCAACTGCATTAATGTTAAGACGATATGTCTATTGATTGTACGGAAGTGAAGTGTGCAATGCCTAGTAGCTTGTTGCTGAATAGTGAGTTGTTCAGTGCCTACAAGAATCATACTATACACTAAAGGGGCTTCTGGGAATTTCTCCATCTGGTGCTATCACTTTCATAAGCCAACTGTATACAGGAAGTATATCAAACAGAGAAATTGTAGGGAGGTCAGGCATGCTTGACCTGTCATTCAATGAAGGAGATTCCGTGATGGCAGATAAAGGTTTTACTGTAAGTGACATCCTACCTTTAGGTGTGTCTTTGAATATTCCACCATTCTTGGGAACATCTACACAAATGCCCCCGGAGGATGTTGTGAGAACTAAGGAGATTGCACGACTGAGGATCCATGTTGAACGTGCAATTAATAAAATTAAAAATTTTCATATATGGGATAGCGTTATCCCACTGAATCTCTTTGGCATTGCAAATCAAATGTGGTCTGTTTGTGCACTTAGACTTTAGTTGCCTAGTTCGGAGCCACATCTACAAAGAATCATATTTCCACTATGCATTTGATTGCAATTATTCAAGACCCTATTTTAACAAGCTGACACAGTAGAAAGCTTTAGACAACTGATTTGTAATGTTTTGGCTAAAGAAGGGTGTGTTGTAGTAATATTTACTATCTAGGTCTTGGAGCTTTTTATTTTCTTTCAATGAAATTCGCATCACTGAAATGATTATGATACCTGTAAAGGAGAGGCCAACAATTACAGGGGGAGGACCTGAGCACATGACCTAACCCCTTACCTTTGGAATTAAAAAAAATAACTGACCCCAAAATAGAGGTCAGAAATTAGATGACCTCCCCCTCTAAATGGGAAAAGAAGATAACCCAGCCCTTATGTGCAGTGAAAAATTACACAGCCCACCCCTTTTTGAAGGATCAAAGAAGCAATGACCCACTCCAGTATGCCTTTTGACCAGCCCTGCAAAAGTGAAAACTAATGAGTGGTTGTGATTTTGATAAAGACTTACAATTTTACACTGTCTTTGTGAGCTTCAAATCTATTAGATTTACCCCTTATGATATTTCTCAAATCATTCTTAGATTTTATGCATTAAATGTTTTATTATGATGCTGTTGTAGAATGTCAAACCACCACAGCTTCTGTGCATGTTGGTGCAAATTCAGCTACAGCATACTCAATGAAATTTGTGAAATAATATTGCCAAAGCTTCTCCTGAAGCTCAACCCAGTAACCTCTGTCAAAGGCAATTCTTTCAATTGACATTCCTTTTTTAGTGTAAACAACAAAATCGCGCCATTGTGCACCAGTACAGCCCATTTGTCCCTGAACTTGGACATAGTAAGCATGGGTAACGTTCTTTTCAGCTTGCACATGTTCCCAACCCTCTCACAAAGAAATTAGGGTCTGCGCAGGCATCTAGGGGACTCACTTGAAACTTTGTTTCCAGGCACTTGACTTCAAGTAGTCCAAAGGAATCTTCACAAGTGGGGTCTATTACCTTTCCATCCGGAGAACATCCCCGTATTGGAGAATTAGTGCATACAACAAATCCACTTTTGAAAACATGTACTGGTGTTTTTTGACTGTGCATGTATTTGTGATACCTGACAATTGCTACTGGCTACTTAATCTCATGAGCTGTATGTCTAGAGTGGAATGTCTTTGGGTAAATGATTTCTTGAGCAAATTTATCATGACTGCGTTGTCTGTGGGATCTCAGATGAAATTGAGATGCTGTAAAACGGTACTTTTGCTCAAGCTTCCACCTTTCAGAATGTGAGTGATCTTTAGTCTCCCTCTCAATGGCATTGACTGTCTCTTCATCAATGCATAATGATTCATACAGGATCTTCTCTGCATCTGTTAGCTGATTGTTTTGAACTGCAGGCAGTCCACAATCTCTTAAAGGAAACCTGGGATAGGTTAAAGGCTGGTTATTTTTTCTCCCTCGAGGCACAGAGGAAATATCAACACAAACATTAAAGTTGGACTCTGTGTGGGCTAGCTGGTAGCTTACATAAGAGCCCACTGGACTATTCCCGAATCTTGTTTCTTTCAGATGTCTTTCACTCCCAAGATCAGCAAGTTGAGCAAGACCCATTTGAGGGTTTACATCTCTGATTGCATGCTTGAATTTTTGCTCCTCTGCACTGTAGTACATTGGATTATTTCTTGCCTCGTAAAGGAGACAATGAATCCCTTCATTTCCACGTTTTGTATCCTCCAGTTTGGTTTTTGAGACAACCACATCCATAACAGGCTGGGGGTAGATGGTTTCACCGCGACTTTTTTGACGCCAAGTTTGAAGTTTTGAGGTGCATGCTTGTTCTGGGATTTGATCAGCTTTATTTTCTAGGTCTTTAGTATTTTGGGACCCATATAGACTAAATTTAGAAGCCTTCAGCATTAAGACTAAAGAATGGTTGCAGTAGCCCAAGGAACCAGCAACACACGAACATTTGGAATCTTGCACTTCGCCTGAGACAATACATAGTGCTAAAAATACATTATGAGGAGGATCGTTCTTTCGACAGGAGTGATAACATTTGCAACGCATGAAAAAGTATCTTTGGTCACTGTAGCTTTCAATGTTCTTAAGATATTCATCCTTTAGAAATGTTGTAGCTTTTTTTAGCCCGGTTGGACCAGATTTCTTACCGGCACAGCCAAAACTCTTTCCAGTTAGTGCAACAAATTTATCCATCTCGGCACGGGAGAAAAGGGGCATTTTCTGTAGTGAGCTCCCCCATCCACTCGTCGGGTAATTGATCTGGCATTTATACTGAGGAGTACTTGCTACTCTCATGGCCGCTGCTTGCTTGCTCCCTTGCAATTTTCCTCTTCTTATAAGTTAAGTCTGTATCAGGATCGACTATCGCGTCTTCTAACCCCGACTCGATATATTCATCAACCTTGGAGAAAAATTTTCGAATTAGATTGTATTTTACTCAGATATCGAAACCAAACTATATTTAACTCGCACAACATAAGAAGTTTAGATTACCACTTATATTTGGCTATCGATCGTTACATTTAAACCTACCGTTTTAGTAGCTGAGCTTTTGTTTTCAGCCCTTTGCATTTATCTCCCCTACATTTTAGCAAAAACCTCAAGGCATAGTTTTTGAGCTCTGCTGGGTTTCTTCCCTCTAAAGACGTTCCAGGAATATCGTCTTGACTCAAATTAACTGCAAAACTCGCCGCCATTTTTATAACAGAACATTCGCCAAGGTCAAACTACGTTACATCAACTGATCCTCAATTAAACTACAGTGTAAACAGTCAATAATTCCAAAAACCTTCGAACAAGACTTACAGTATCAATATATCGAGGGATGCCTCCTAAGCCTCGTTTTGGTGAACTGGGCTCAGGTCTTAACCGCGCGTCCGCCATTTATGAATAAGGCGTATGTCCCTTTCAATTCCCCAACGCCCTTCCGGCTCAAAACTAATAAAACCTCTCCAACCGTAACCACCCAAAAGTCTTAAATATATGTGAACGCAAGGTGCAAGGTGACAGAAAAAAGAAAGAAAACTATTGGATAAAGGTTAATTACAAAATGGTTTACGTATATGTGCACGATTCTTCGCAGTAAAGCACTATTTGAGCAATAGTGAAAATCAGACCTGAAAAAAATTTCAGGCCTGTACGGGATTCGAACCACTGACCTCTGCGATACTAGTGCAGCGCTCTACCAATTGAGCTAACAAGCCAACTGGGAGCAGGCCATCAAATTAATTCGACATAAACCCGTAGATGATAAATCAAACAACAACAAACATATGAAGGCCGTTCAGGCCGTACAGGCCTGAAATTTTTTGTCAGGTCTGATTTTCACTATTGCTCAAATAGTGCTTTACTGCGAAGGATCNAGCAGATCTATAGGCGGATTCATGCTGACGTCATTGTTTACATTTTTGCTCATTTGCATACGGCTTTGCGTAAAGAAGGAAGCATGTTAGATACAAATTGACTTCAGGCAGCTAAAGAGCTAGAAAACCTTAGTACATGGTGAAATTTTTAGCTCTTTGGGTGTAATATTCAAGGAGAAATAGTCCATCAAAAAC